GCCCCGGTTACAGTAGTTGCACTATAATATCATCTGTTCATTATATCTTTAGTTGTGAAGCCATAGAAGAAGTGTCCCCTCGTCAGCAGCGGTTAGATAACGTTCGTACTCTATTTGTCAAGATCTACGCTAAAGTCATTGGTTACCCCATCCAAGAAGGCAACACCTTCTCTAACATCCTAGACCACGTGACCGGGAGGATACGCGAGAGTTGGAGTACTGCGGTTTAGTATATTATTACTATTATTATTTAAATATTTTTGGATGAAAATTAGGAAATATATGAACATTTTGCTGTGACCCAGTCATCGTACGAATGAAATTCAAAAATGTAAAAATTAGATGTGACTATTATCATTATGGAAAGTGAATTTACTTAAGTGCTACACGGACATCTGTATTTTTCTGGTCTTTCTTATCCCAGATTCTTCTCGTCTAATCTAGTATATAACCAGTGTTGGTGGCAATTACTTTGTTAAATAATGAACGATTTTTGAGTCATGGAAAGTCTGGTTTTCAAAGAAGACGATAGCAACTTAAGAATTCTTGAAGACATAACAACGTGTTAAGATGATAACGCTTAGGACCGAAGTGACCAGTAAAAGGAGAAGAAAATAATGTCTTCTTTGCTTAATGCGTCGTTCTTACTGCTGCGGTCAATATCCAGTGAAAACCAGCCTTCAGTGAGTGAATTATTCTTGTGGGGTTTTCCAGTGTTTGGTCTGAGAATTTAATTGTTTATGATCGAGAATAAGTAATAGAGGGCTGCACACACTGATAACAGGTTCTTGTCATCGAAAGAGTAAGAACTTGCATTTAGCATTTCATAAATATCCATGCCGATAGTTTTACCTGAAAAGTCCGCGGAATACTCAGAACAAGATTTGCGCACATGTTGCACGCGACTGGGCCGAGATTTTCTGCTCAAAGGAAATTTATGGAAATGATAGTCGTACTGTGTGGTGCTGTGCTGCAATTCATGCATTGCGCTAGCATCTAGACAAGCATACGTTTCATGATGCAAGTGTAATGATATGAATGTGATTGTAAGCATAGGCCTCTCAGTTGTGCGTCTCTCGAAGGTTTTGAAATTTCGGGTAAAATTAATCCGGTTTTTATAATTACGCGACCACCACAGCCCAAGGCGTCCGTCAATCAAAATATACCACACTCCGACCGTTGGAAATTTGATTAATAGAATCATCTCGAATTATAGCTATATGCGTCTGTATGGTTCGCGTAATTGTGAAAGTGGATACGGGATGGAATGAAACTAGATGTAACAGCTAGTAATCTCGTCATGGATCAAGGTTACTGCATTATGAATGACTGATCATAGGACTGCGTCACTAAAAAGATCATTCACGTTTTTGTACATCAAAAAATAAAAGCAAGAATTCAAAAACTTTCGAGTCCGTATTTTAAACTTAAAGTGGAGCTGGTGCTTTTGTGCAACCGCATAGAGCGAGTAAGAAAAGTTTCAATTGCACGAGTTCGCAGTAATAGTTCTACTATTCGTGAAACGTTTACTTCAAGAAAGTTTTAGGGGCTAGGGGATTCGTCGTTAAACATCCACTACATTTACTATTTTATGCACACAACGTTCGACACACGTTTAGTGTTGATTTTTACTGAAGGAAAACCGGACAAAACCATCGTGGCAAGGGAGAGAACAACACATCAAACAAACTCAACTCACATGTTGATTTTTATGGAGGGAGGAAAACCAGAGGACCTGGAGAAAAACCCTCGTGGAGAGGGAGAGAACAACACATCAAACAAATTCAACTCACATGTTGATTTTTACGGAGTGAGGAAAACCAGAGAACCCGGAGTAAAACCCTCTTGGCAAGGGAGAGAACAACACATCAAACAAACTCAATTCACGTGACGACCGCAGAGCTCAATCCAGCGATCCGACCTGTTGAACTCACAGCAGTATAAGAGGACGAAGCGTACGCCACCCACACCTTAACTGCGCTCAAAACTATTCTACACAATCTTAGCCAAAGGTTTCTCGTGTAGCACCCTTGAACGACTGCAGTAGCCCTTTCTAAACGAAGCAAAACTGAGGGAAATTTTCCCCATGGTTTTGAGGATAAAGAGCAAGATTTCAAAGTCACTTCATGATCAATACTAGCTTTACTGACATCGAGGAGAGTGAAGAAACAAATATGGAGACATCTAACATGGCGGTACGGAAAGCGATCACGTGATCTGAATGTGACAACAGAGAGGATATCGATAAGGAATTCAATATTCATTTATTTGATAGATATTATAATTAAATTTCATTACAATAGTAACATTTTAAACTATCATTAAGGAATTAATTGCAGAGTTACTTGTTAGGAATGCAAAAAGTTGTTCTCAAATGACGAAAAACGAAGAGGCGAAAAGGTGGCATCTATCCAACTAATCAAATCACGCGACATCATTAAATATCCAATCAGAATACGGTATGATTTGCGGTATGATTTATCTGTCTATCTCGATAAAAAAAAATACAAATTATATGGGACTGTTTTTCCAATTCAACACTCTGGTATAATAATTTCTACAGATGTACAAGCAACAACGTATTTCATTCAAATTGATCTCCCCTCATGCAGAGTGAACGCAAACTAAACGGATAAATTCTGTAAGCATGCTCTAGAAAATCTACGTTATCTTGTCTTGACTTGGATATTGTAGGCTGGTATCTTTTCTTGCCTTTGACATCAATGGACTTATCCTCGTAAGCTAGAAGAAAACAAATATATATATATATAAAGTAAAGCAAAGTAAAGTGTTGATCATTGGCGTGTTGTTTGTGATGGTTTTATTTGTTACCACTTGTTGAACCACTACATATGACGAAGCAATGGTATGAATCATCAGTGTTAACATGGCACTATCAAAGGTTTCCAGCTCCTACTCACCAGTGTTCAGCTTGCAGGAGGCTCAGGAACTTGCATACTCGTTCGGGTTTATTAGTCTGAAAGGAAACAAAAGGTATTAGTCCATAATGACAGTTAGCCTTTCGAAGTGTTTTTGGAGCACAATGTGAGAGGCCTTTAATGAATGCTACACTTGGGTTTGACCTTACTACTGCGGGGCGGGGAAAGGGAGGTACGGTTGGTTAGTCTTGAAGGAAAAAGTGTAAGTCACATAATAATTTACTTGTCATTTCTGCACCAATTGCGTGATGCTTTAACTTTAACCTACTCCAACTGTTCCCAGGCAACCCCAAAACTCCCCGCAGTCAAAAAAATCAAATCTTCTTAATTTATACACGGTATGCATTAAAGCTAGAAGCTTGTGGGGCCGTGTATCCTCCATACACACTCCTTACTACATTAGAATATTCTATACACACAACTCTCAACTCACATACTAAGCTAAACACAGAATATATGTTGGAAAGTAAGTCAGACGGAAGGTATGTTACCTGGTAAGCCATTTGAGCTAACATGATTATCTTCTTGATACCCACGTAAAGACTACAAACAAAGATGAGAAAATAGTTAATAAACAATTATAAAACACGTCAGCAACGTTGCAAGAAGAATAAAAGACACGACTTATGATAGAAAGTTGTTTATAGCTTTAATAGACCAATCTCAGAACTATTTCAAAAATACTGCTAACAGGAAAGTACGAAAAAAGTCTCTTTTTCTTGATTGGATTTGAGGTATTTCTGGTGCCGTGGGACCTGGTAAGCTACGCATTCTAAACCTGTGATTCTGTATATATATGACACGGGGTTCATAAATGAGTCATATATGGTGATGAATGTATAACATACCCTTTCTCTCCAATGTCTCTTGAAATCTCTTCTATTTCTTTGCCATCAAACAGCTTGGTTTCCTGGTAGTCAACGTGAAAATTCAATTATAGTGACTTTACTTGGCCTGTGAAATAATGGTCAACGTAATACATAGTACTACTGAGTAGACCAAAATTTCATGGTTTTCTTTTGTTTTACTTGGACTGTTAGT